TCATGTCAAACATACTCATTGCACATATATCAAAGAATCAACAAACTCCTGGTGTTTTGTTATTAGAATTTTTAGTGCGTTTTCCTTGAATATTATCGAAATATAATTAATGGACAAAATTATAATGCATAGTCACTATTGTGGTAGCGTTGAATACAATCATTATCACTATAGTTACTATGATAGTACTAAATCATAGTGACTATGATAGTACTATGAAAGTAACCCTTAATTTCAATCCATAAAACAACTATATAATCAAACCTATAAACGATATGATCGCCCTCAAAACAGTGTTTCAAAACGCCTTTATCGGGATGTTTGGGTAATAGCTCCTTACCCTCTAAGATCATCTCCAATGCTACAATGTGCACGGTGCACATGTGACATGAGAGATAGACACATAAATATTTGTAAATAAATATAGAGTTGTTTATTTGAATGAATTTATTCAATTTTGGTAATTTTTTCACCACAATGTCACGAAGACCGTGTAGATATAGACATTATGGTTGACATTGCAGAGTAAAACGTACCAAATTTGTATAAAGTCATTTAAATAAGGAGAGAAATAATTTATTTTTTAATTTTTATGTGATTATCTCTCATGCTGCATATGCAACATGCACATTTCACCATTCGAGATGCTCTAAACTCCTTTTTTTCCAATAGAAAACGCTGCAACATGGAGCGTTTAGGTTCCAAACCGCTTAAATACAAACAAAGGCCAAAATGTTTGAGTAGACTTTTTCACGCGTACTGCAAACTGACATAAACTAACGTACACGAGAGTACCAGATAAGATTGTAAGCATTCCAAATGTTAAAATGGGGACTAAATAAAAGTGGAAATAATTATCCTAAGTATGACTAAAACTCAATGATTTTCTCAATCTGTGACCTAACCAGTTTTTTTCCTAGAATAATATTAAAATTTGAAATATTTAATTCAAATTCGAAATAATTATATAATAAATAATTTTTAGGGACAAATATACCCTTTATATTATATCTATATAAAATCCTAATGTCTATATACTCCTTTTTTCCAACCCTAGTTACAGTTCCTCACACCTTCACCGCCCACCTACGTAGCCCCCCAGTCAAGCCTCCACCTTCTGTCGAACCGCCGGCCGCCGTCCACCGTCTAGCACCACCGCCTTACACAGATCTCTTGTTTGGGAGAACAACCGCCGCTTTCCACATATCTATGGCCGAGGATTACAGTAGCTACCTTCCAAAGATGGATTTCTTTCCTGGAAGCGACAATTGCCCGACTTGGATTTGTGTGATGGATTTGACCTTGATTAATGGGGGAGAGGCGGAGATCGTGCAAGTGGATGCCGCTGATTCGGCGTTTGGGGTATTCACGGAGATTCGGAGAAGGTGACGTATCTTGGATGCGTCTGGGAAGAACGGGTAATCTGATTCATTTAGCGGCGGACGAGAATGACATGTTAGTGCTTTTGATGGTGTTGTTCGTTCTTCCTCTTCCGTTTTAGATGAAGATGGGTTTGTGCTTTGGTGCACATGAAGTGCGGCGTTGCTTTACTTTTTTTCTTTCTATTTTTGCTTTTCATTCTCATTTTTGCTTTTTTGTTTTTGAAATTAAGAGTTTCTAAAATTAGGGTTTATGGGCATTAAATTGAGGCAGTGAATATACGCAGTGAATATATATGATCATAGACATGTTGTACATGGCAGTGAACGAGTGCATTAAGAAATTTTTTTGTGCAACGATTAAGACCGGTATTGCAGTAACACAAAGTAGTGTGATCATCATGAAATGCAATATACTTAATATACTAAAATAATAAAATTATTAAATTTAAAAAAATCTCCAATTGAAAAAGAAGAGAATTAATTTTAGGGGAAGTGCAGTAATTATTACTGAATGTGCAGTAAAGCCATGCATTAATTTTGTGCATTAACGGCAATATAAAGTGCAGTAATTTTAATTGAACGAAATTAGTTTAAAATACACATATTTTAAATAAGGGTATTTTCGTCATTCAACGTTTAAATATAAACGAATTTTCTATTTTTTTTTGGATTTTTGGTCATACAAAGGTATAAAAACTAGTTAGGTCATAGATTGAGAAACTCATTGAGTTTTAGTCATATCCCGATAAATTTCCCATAAAAGTGAGCACGCATCACAAAACTCGAATTATCATGCGTTCACGGATTCAGGTTTACAGGTTACAAAGTCGGCCCAAAAATAGTATTTCCAAGAGATGTTGGAAACACACCTTATTTAATGATTCTGCGCTGCCCAATCCTGCACCCACCTTTTAATGCAGATAATTAACACGCTTCCAAGAAATGTCTGCAGTGAGAAATTTAACGTCATTCCTGCATGCATGAGAAGCTTTTTGGGATTTAGGAATTATCTGTCACAATATCTATAGGTAATAGATATGTTTAATGGTTTCTATAGAATTTATCAATGTAAATTCACGTGGATATATACCAATTACCAATTCTGAGTACGTACTCCGTAGTGTATAACCCATTGCGGTGTCTTGGCATTCTAAAAATTTGTGAGCATTACAAAAGATATTTACCTCTCAAGGCTTAACCAAATCATGGATAATATAATCTGCCTCAACTTTGTAATTTTTTAATTTGTGTTTTTCGTAATCTCTTTCTTCGTTTATAACAAGAACTGCTATCAAACACATTATATTGAGTGTGTTACGTTTGGAAAACGACGCTTTAACAAAATAAAGGACTTTCACCTTTTAACGTTTTTCACAAGTCATAATTATGTGGAAATGGTGTTTGATAAATAGTTGTTTGATCCTTACGTTTTTTAATGGAACCATTAAATAGAAACATTATGAATAACAATGTTTCGAGTTAGCTTTTGGAAATAGGCATTACTCACAAACAGGGACCGAGCCAGGATATGACTATATGAGCGAGGGGGGTGGGGTGAAATGAAGGAAAAAATACAAAAGCAATAAACATTAAATAATGTAGTAGTATTCATTTAAAACATTCAAAAACACATAACTAAACGTCTTGAGAGTTAACATTTAGAACGTCGCTCTTGCATGTCACGAAAATCATCTATAAGAGAGTCCACACTAATTGTTTTTGAATTTGCTTCTCAATGTACACCAACAAACAATTGGTAAGAAATACGAAGTATTCATCTTCCATCTTGTTTCGAAGGGTAGTCTTCACGATGCTCATAGCAGAAAAAGATCGCTCTATAGTACTCTACTCGTTTAATATCCGGACTCTAAAATAAGATTATATAATTACTTTTTAAAATGTTAAAATAAACACTAAAGAGCCCTATTCAAGAATTCCTTAAATACACATTAGTAATTTGCATTAACTTAATTCCTTCGTTTTTGCTCATAAAATAGTTCCATATTATAATTTCTAAATTATAACATCTTAACTCTTGTTTACAAATCAACCATTTAAATAATAAATACTACGGAGTATTTCTTTATTAAGTATTCACTAAATTTCGAATTAATATCTCTAAGTGACAACACAAATTTGCATTAACTTAATTCCTTCGTTTTTGCTAATAAATACTACTCACTAGTATTTCTTTCAATTTAAATGATTTCAATAGCCAAAAGGGCTTTAGGCCCAGCCGGCCAGCCGTAAGGTTGAATCGTTGATGCTTGGCTACAGCTATATATGGTGTAAGGATAATAGTCAAAAATAAAATGTGGTATGGGGCAAAAATTAAAAAATTAATACTACTATTTAAAAAAATGGTGGTGGGCGGGGGGGGCAATGACCTCCCTAATGCTTCATGTAGTTCCGTCTTTTTTATAACCCTTCAATTTATTCTGCTAGTTAAACCTGCTGACCGGATAACTGGATCCACTGTTACGTACCAACATGCCAACATTATTCCTCAAGTGCTAAATGTCAAAGATGCCCATTATACACATGTCATCATTTGATAGAAATGCTGAAATGCATCACAGCATCACGTAATAGATACTTCCTCCGTCCCATTGGACTTTGCCAATTTTCCCTTTTTGGTTGTCCCAAAAAACTTTGTCACTTTCCTATTAAAGCAACTAATTTGTGGTTCTGCACATTTCTCTCTCTTCTCCACAAATCTCAACCATACAGTTTTTACTATTCTTATTTGTCACCTACTTTGCAATTGGCAAAGTTCACCGGGACGGAGGTAGTATTTTCTCAAAGAAGGAATAAGCATTCACTTTAAAAAAAATTAACAAACAATTAGTGGACATTAAATAATTATGAGGCAGTTTATGGGTGCATTTGGCATTTGGCAGGTTGCAAAAACATGTTTGGTAATTTAGTCGTTTGACCATAGTAATTAACAGAAAATACTCTATTCCAAAACGCTAATCCAAAATGCTACTATTAGTAACGTTTCCATTTCACTGATTTCGTCCAAAATAAAGCTAGGGTCGAACAACTATTTAACAAATAACAATTTGACTTACTAAAACCGCTAAAATGAGCCAAATCGCTACTTTTTGGCTAAAAGAAAATACAGTCACTCTTAAATGGGTGAAATTGTGCATAAATGTAAATTAGATTATTCTATTTCTTAATTGTTGTATTTGTGAGAAGAAATGCCTTCTTTGGAAAGGTTTTGGCCTAATCCGCCTCTTCTTTTTTGTATTCTTATTTATTTAATAAAATCCGCAAAATGTTTTCTGACATTTGCCCCACTGATTTTGGTGGTTTACCTACCGGACAAAAAAAAACGTGAAAATTAGAGTATTTTCACCTTTTGGCTTATATAATACGGAGTACTACATACGTAGCACTCCGTAATATGTATTGTACTATCTATGTTAATTAAGGATGCTTTTACTTGGACTGCAATTTTCTGGTCTGATTTGGTCTGAAATGGTCTAATCTGGTCTGCTAATGTCTGATTTCTTTGTATTTTTATAATTATCCAAGTCTGATCTGATCTAGGACAGATTAGTCCAAGTAAAAACATCTTAAATATATAGACCTTAAAAAAGCGGTGTGCATATGCACTACATATGATGCAATTTCTTTTTATAATTCTGACTATACATGTACTCGACTAAAAAAACATTTTCTATCTAGCTAGTTGCTCTACGTACTCCCTCGTACAGTCTATATATACATAACCAATTGGTAGCAACTACCAAATAAGCCACCATCAAAATCGAACATACATTAGAGGATCCTCTAATACATGGAGGAGGAGAATACCACCACCGTGGCCTCACCGGACGGGAAGCCGGCGTCAAAGGGCGGCCAGAACGGGTTGAGATGGAACCCAACAAAAGAGCAAATAAACTTGCTTGAGAGGTTTTATAACGAAGGGATAAGGACCCCAACGGCGGAGCAGATACAAGAGATCACAGGCATGCTTAGGGCTTTTGGTCATATAGAGGGGAAGAATGTGTTTTACTGGTTTCAGAACCACAAGGCCAGGCAACGCCAGAAACTCAAGCATCAACATAACTTGGCCCCTCTCTTTATCCCTTCCACTAATTACCAACTCCATTATCCTCTTTACCCCTTCCCGCCGCCTTCTCCAAACGGTAATTCATTAAGATCAGATCATTCTTTTGATTTTGGAAGAAAAATATTTTTAGTTACTCTTATTGGTGAACTTATGGCATTTCTTCTTCTATTATGTACATTTTAAGATAAAATTACAAGAACCTACGTACTTAGTATTCTTATTCGAACATTGGTTGACCAAAAATATGATTTTACAAAACAATTTGGGACGGAGCCACGGTCCACGGAATTGAAGTAGTACATGGGGAGATCTCTAACTGAATTTTCATCCCATACTAGCTTATTGGAGGCCCAAATCTTTGATTGGAATTATATCTCAAACTTCACACTTGTGTCACTCTCTTTTTGCCGATTAACACTACAAAATAAAATAACACAAATTTGGCATGAGTTGACCAATGATTTTGTGTCAAATAGCTCGTGTTAACGGGTTTTTTTGCACGAATTTGGCATATCATTGTCAAATCTTTCGTGAATTTGTGCGAGTCTCTACCGAAAATCCATTCCAGTCCCGTGTTTTCTATAGTGTAAACTGCGTCACCATCAACACTATTCTCAATTTCACTTGAAGAATCTGGTATAGTAGTTGATGATGAATTGGTTTTGCATGCAGTTACCTACCCACCGTACTACATGCCGCCGCCGCCACAAGGGGGTGTTGGGATTTACCCAAAAAACACCGAGTTATTTATTCCTTCCTGGCAAACAATGGGGTATAATAGGAAATTGCCAAGTATGGGTATGATAGGTTGTGGAGATGAAGATGTGGAAAGAAAACGAGGAAACGCGAAACCATGCAGGCCAGAAACGTTGAATTTGTTCCCTTTGTGTCCTACTGGGGTTTTACATGAAGAATGTAACAGGAAGAATGTGGATGCAGGCTTTAATACACCCACTCCGTCCTGGTCTGGAGATGATGATAATGATAATGAGCGCTTCACATTCTTTGATTTTTTTTGTGGGAATGGTTGTTATGGAAGTCATGACTGATTGTGACAGTGTTATTTGCTGACAATGTTTGACTGATAGTTGACTCTCATGCTACCTTTAAACCAGGTTGTGCATGTATCAAATGCTATACATAATATTAATAGATAAAAGTGTTTTTTAGGGTTGAGAAAGTAAACTAGTTTTGGTGACCATTACAGTTCTTCTGGTGTTTTCTTGATTGCCGATTCACTTTTATTTTTGTGAAGTTAATGTAAGTAGTACTATACAGATTATGTCTCATCATGCATGCACTTTCTCTCTTTCAGAATGGGTTCAGTTTTTGGGAGGTTTTAGTCTTGCTCTAGGTCAATATTGGTCCCAACAAGCTTTTGTCAGCGTGCTGTGTGAAAGTAAGAGGACTTGTGAAATTAAAAAAGGGATAACTAGTACTAAAGCAATTGACTCACATGGCTCTATCACGGTTGGTCCACTGTACTTCTTATCTAAGTTGCAAAAGATTGAACTAAGAGATGTGGTTCCATCTTAAAATGTTTATCTAATAGGAGTAGATTAACACTTTATTACACTACTTTTTAATTAATTTATCAGTGTGGGTTCCATCATTATCATTTTTAATGATTATGTCGTCATTTTTCATAATGGGTCGACATGCATCATGATTATGGATCGTTTTGCCTTGGATATCATGTGAAGATATGAGATTTCATCCTAAAAATGAACCTGATATGATGAGTAGTCCAAAATCTTAATATACTTGTCTTTTAGTTCTTTGTTCATGATCAAATCATTAGCAATTCTTATTCCAAATGTTACTCCCCACGTCCCATAAAACATAGTTGTACTGACTTTTCTTTATCAGTGATGATCGATCAAGTTTGATCAATGATATTACGTACTTCGTATTTAATAGTATGAAATAATTTGAAATATGAAAATTATATTAAAATATTATTGTCAATTTTTTATAAAAAGGAGTATAAATTTATTAATTTCACATAAATATAATAACTATTTTTTTCAAAATTCCCTCAATGATCAATAAAAGTTAATTTGATCAAACTTCGTGTGATGAAATTAAATAAGTACTACATTGTATCAGGAAAAAATATATAGAGCACGCTGACGTGCCTACTATAGAGCCTGTTGACGTGATGCATGATCACAATTAACTAAATGTTTTAATTGAATGAACTTAATTTGTCCATTCATCTTCTCTTATACCAATGTTAGGGGGTGGAGGCAGAACTATAGTCAGGGTTTTTTTTAGCAAGTTAAATAGGTCATCTGGAACAGACCCACCAAAATTGGGCTCCCAATTTTTTTTAATATTAGTACTATAATATAGTTATATTATAAAATATTAATATGTAGTTATTTGAAATCATGTTTTTTTCTATATGAACACTTGAACACAATTAATTTTGTTGAACAATGTGAGTTGTTACTATATATGCGACCTTATTTTTGTTCATATATGGCCCCTCAATTTTGCATTTGGAACCGAGACCTCCAAATTCATTAGACGGACCTGAGTATAGTTACTATGCAAAGTCATTGCACACTGTAGTATAGAGTTGGATGAAATTATGATCACTAAAGTAATAGAAGTTATATATCCATTACCATTGTTTATGTCATATACTATTGTATTTGTCATCGTTTCTTAAAAATAATTACATTTATATGACCAGAATAAAGATGAAAGAGACAATTATTATGTTCGATTTCACCCTATAGTGAATATGTTGTACACATAATAATTTTGGTCATACTTATATCGTATCTATAAATTTAATTGACTAGTATTCTAGGAAAACCCTCTAAATTATTGTGCATGTATATATAGCCGTATTGTTAAACATATATATAGAAGCCATTCAAGAAAATGAAATATATACTCGTGGTTAAAAAGCTTTGATTTTACATTCAAAAAGAGAGAAAAAAAAGAACTATGATTTTTAGCTCTCTCTAGTTGATCGCTGCATTATTAGGGGATGTTTGAATCTGATTCTTAAAACTGCTTCTGCTTCTTGAGGGAGCAGAAGCAGAAGCTGGATTGTTTGGGTGAAAGTGCAGAAGTGATTCTGATGCTCTAATTTACTCCTAGAATCAGTTTTTTTAGAATCTGAGGGTGACCAGCTTCTGAAAACTGATTCTGATTCTACTTTAAAAAAAACAGAAGAAGAAGCAGAATCAGTTCCAAATAATCCCTCATACTACTCGTAGTAATATCAAAGGTTTGTAAAAAAAATACCAAGTACGTGGCAAGATTTGGCATTACCGAAGGATTTGAATTAACTCTGTTCCCAACCTCGTTTTCCTAAGCTAATATAAATATAGGCGGCTATACTTCCATTATCGAAGCATGCCTTTTTTATGTGCTTTTAACCATTCTAAGTGGAGTCTGGGGACGTAAAGACCATTAGGCGGCCGGATCAATTTACAAAGCAGCAGAATATATCATTCCAATTGAATACTTCCAAATTCCAATGAAAATCCAATAAAAAAAATCCATCCGATATGTGCCACTTGCTCTCTCTAGTCTCTTCGATATATAGGCTAGGGAGTATTATTTTTTGTAGTTCATTAATATGGTAGAATGCATACACTTCTAGTACTCCAATACCTTTTCATTAACATGAACCTACAAGGGAAATCAAAGATAGGGTTACATGTGAGACGAGTTGAGCTTTGTCAACTCCGATATCCATTTAAAAAATGGGGGTACCATAGAATTTACCTCTAATAATACATATGATCCATTTATTATAATGGATGTTCACCGCAAATTATATCGTGCAACAGACGCACCATGAGGATGGTGCGCCCGGTTGCAAAACAACGCAGTATCGCGCACACTCCTCCTTTGACCAGCCGCTGCTCTTCTCCGTTAATACTCGTTGGTCATTTTTTTCTCCATCACAGTTGTGACGCACACACTCCTCCCCAACACACTTCTCCTCCCCAATTTTTCGTGTAGTTCGTATGATGCATTCCACAACCAGCACCAAACAAAGTTTTATCAATAAAAAAAACTTAACATAGATTCATTTATTGCTCAAATAAAATACTTACCCATGTAGAAAAGTGATTCTTCTTTAAAACATATTTATGACTTTAATATTAAAAAAAAACATATTCACTATTTATGTAAACTAAGTGCAGAATAAAACTCATCATTTTCATCGTTTACATTTGATATTATATCGAGTTACATCTTCTTATTCGCGAGTCACATCTGTTTATGCATGAGTTACATCTCAATGTACGCGTGTTACATCTTGTTTACATGTGATTTACATTTTTCATAATGCGAGTTGCACCACAATATAATGTGAGTTAGGATGTTTTTACTTGGACTGTAATTTGCTGGTCTGGTCTGGTCTGATCTGGTCTGATCTGAACTGGTCTGATCTGGTCTGGTAAAGTCTAGTTTCTTTGTATTTTTATAACTATCCAAGTCTGGTCTGGTCTGAACTGGTCTGGTCTGCACTGGTTTGGTCTGGGACAAATTACAGTCCAAGTAAAAACATCCTTACACAACTCAATAAACCTCTGCTACTCAAAGAAAAAATAAATTTATAAAAAATCAATTTTTATAGCCTTGATATATTAGAAACAAAACATATACACTATTTTTGTAAAATAATTGGGCAATTAGACTCCTTTTTCATTATTTACATTGAAATCAATATTTTATTTCTTATACTATGTATTGGACAAGTTATATTTCGACTGGACTTGAGTTACATTGATTAATAACGTGAGTTACATTTCCTTACACGTGAGTTACATCACTCTGCTACTAGGACAAAGGAAAAAAATTTACTATAGACACGTATACTGTTCATGCGCGAAAAATTTTATTAAAAAAAATGCAAAACTGTATCGTTTTGATTGGAGGAGTACGATGCTCATGGTAGTTTGGTTGCACCGTATACGATGAATGAGCATCACACATTAAATATAATTTATTCTACACATTTAGATGAACGATTAGTCATTTATTCCTTCCTGACTTAAGTAACTTCCTAACTTAATTAATTGTTTCCTTCTTAACATTTTTAGTCACCCTGTAATTAAGAGGAAAGAGTCGTAATAATGAGTAGCGTAAAAAATATGTAGTGTGAAATAATGGAATGGGTTACCCAATAGGGGCCTCACATATATATTTATAATAGAATGGAAGTTACCAAAATACAACAAGATTCCTAAATTAGATCAACTATTACACTCCCTCTAACTGTGCGAGAGATACAGCGTGCATGTTGTCTTTTAAAAAATGAAACTGGTGACTGGATAAACTTTTAGTGAATATATCAACTAGTTGAAGATGAGTTGGAACATACTTCACTACTAGATCACCGTGCGCGACTCTCTCACGAACAAAACGATAATCAATCTGAATATGCTTACTGCGAGCATGCTGAACCTGATTAGCTGTCAAGTAGGATGCAAAGACATTATCACAGAAAATCTGTGCTGGAATCTGGACTGGAAAGCCGAGCTCAAAGAGAACAGATCTGATGTGTAGTGTATCGTGTACTGTATACGCAATCGCTCTGTACTCAGCATCTTTAGATGATTTGGAAACTGTAGGCTGCTTTTTTTACTTCCATGACACAGGGTTAGGTCCCAAAAAATAGCAAAACATGTAGCAGAGCGAGAGCTATCGGGACACCCTGCCCAATCAACATCGGAATAGGCCAGAATGCGTATGGGACGTGAAGAACTCTGTATGTCATGCCCCGGACCTGTCCGGACACGTCAACAATCCACCGTACAACACGAATAGTCAACCAAGGTCACACACATCCGTATTATGCAAACCGTCTCGAATATCATTCACACATAAGTCATCCATAAACATACATAATAAGCAATTCAACAAGCAGCGGAAAACATAGTTTGAAATCAAATGCCACACGGGGCAAACATGAGCATGTAGGCTCTAAAGTAAAATATCCATGAACAAATTTATGTATGTTTCAAATAGAATGGAGGAAGCACGAACCAAGTCTTCTCTCCG